GGTGTGTGAGGTGAAAACACTTCCCTGAAACACTTACCTCAGCTACTCCAATGTGCCCAACTCCTGAATCAATCCCCCATCTCACTCTGAAGTTCTCCCATGTCACTGTCAAGGTGACTGCTCTCACTTGCTCCTTGTGGGGACAGCACGAACCCTTGTCCATGGTGAGAAAAGCCTGGTGATGTAACTCAGCTCCGTGAACTTCTCCCTGCAGAACCACTGAAGGACACTTCAAGGCTGGAGTTCCCAAAACGTTAACAGCAGGGCACTGGGCTCAAAACCAAAGCCCGTGATGTGCAGGGCTGCAGTTCACCACCCCTGAAAGCAGGTTTCCACCAGGTCCCTCTGAAACGGCGTCCTTCTGAGCGGCCCTTGCTGCAATGCTGGGTTTGAGGAAGTCAGCTGGAGTGGTCGGTGTCCAGAGTAGACAGCTGGAGAGTGCCTCCCACTGTGTAGATTACAGCTCTGTGGTGGTGACACTGGGCTGATCAGTTGAGAGCTGAGGCCCTCTGAGTGTGCAGATACAGCAGAGCTGGAAGAGGCTGAGTTGTTAGAGCAGCAGCATTTCACGTGTCCTGGGAAGGAGGCCACAGCTGGAAAGCCTCTCCTGGGGCTGCATAGTGAGAAATGTCTCCTGTGAGCAGTGTCTGTGGTCTGGATAATCCCCTTTCAGGACCTGAAGTCAGCCCAGTAGAGCAACCTACATGTCAACCTTATGTGATGGAAGTCCTACATCCAATGAGCGTTACTGTAGTGCTGGGCCAGAGCAGAGACCTTGTCACCCTCACCAGGAAATGGGAAGGCAGCAGTTTCTATGAAGGGTTACACAACCATTCACGTGGTTTTATTGAAGGACTCCTGGGAGATGTGACACTGTGAGGCAGAGTCTAGGCTGGGGTGTTCTTTGCTCATCATTGGGAGGTGATTCTCCCCCTGTACTCCACTCTCGTAAGGCCCCACCTGCAGTGCTGTGTCCAGTTCTGGAGCCCCCAACACAAGAGAGACCTGGAGCAGCTAGAACAAGTCCAGAGGAGGTCACCAGGATGATGCAAGGGCTGGAGCAGCTCTGCTGTGAGGACAGGCTGAGAGAGTTGGGGCTGTTCAGCCTGGAGAAGAGAAGGCTCCGGGGAGACCTTCTAGTGGCCTCCCAGTACCTGAAGGGGCTCCAGGAAGGTGGGGAGGGACTTTGGCCAAGGGCAGGGAGTGACAGAACAAGGGGTGATGGCTTTAAGCTGAAAGAAGGTCGGTTTAGATTAGATTAGGAAGAAATTCTTTGGTGTGAGGGTGGTGAGACAGTGTCCCAGGTTGCCCAGAGCAGCTGTGGCTGCTCCTCCCTGGAAGTGTTGAAGGCCAGGTTGGATGAGGCTTTGAGCAACCTGGTCTAGTGGAAGGTGTCCCTGCTGATGGCAGGGGGGTTGGAACTGGAGGAGCTTTAAGGTCCCTCCCAACCCAAACCAGTCTGGGGTTCTATGATCGGCCTCTGAGAAAAGTACAAGGCACTTGGAGGAAAAAATCCCAAATCACTTTTTTTCTATCACTTTCAAGGCCAGGTTGGATGGGGCCTTGGGCAGCCTGATCTAGTGGTTGACAACCCTGTCCACAGCAGGGGGGTTGGAACTGGATGATTGTTAAGGTCCCTTCTGACCCAAACCATTCTACAAGTCTGTGATTTTATAAAAGTAATTTATAAACTGCCTGAAGCCTCTGGTTACGATGTAGAACCACATTCAAAGTTAAAGATCTCAATTCTGTTGAGTTCTGTCCATTGTTTAAAATAACTGCAACCATTCAAACCAAGCCTCAGCTGACACGAACCATCAAGGAGCAACCAGGGACATTGAAAAACCAAGAGGCTTTGAAAAATAACCTGGGAAAACCAAGTCAGAAATCTCATCTAGGAATCAGTGGTAGGTTGAAGCCCAGAACTCCACCACACACCGCAAACTCATTTCTCTTCCCCACATTGAGTCACGACCACGTTAATTAGAATGTGAGCACCACAAGCAGAAACCACTAGTGAAACCACAAGAATGCTTGAAATAAAGAAACCCCAAGCAAGAGGCATGGGACAGATGTCACAGCAACAGAGCCTTCGCACTCCCAAACCCCAGAATCAGGACACCAGGTACAAGAGCTGGTGAGAAGCTGGCAGCAGCGACGCGTGTTGGTTACAGCTGTGAGGCCAGTTAGGAAATGGAAAGGGAAAAACATCTCAGCTGAGCACTACTGCTTTGAGAGCGAGAAGTGGAAAGCATCGCTGCTGTCACGTCTACAGGGATCTGCTGCCACTATGTGATGCACATGGTCACTGGCAGGCAGTGACTCAGCCCTGCTACTGCAATTAATCACACAGTCATGGTGGTTGGAAAAGAACTTTAAGATCACTGAGTCCAACCATAAACCCAACACGGCCTGTTCCACCTCTAACCCATGTCCCTCAGCACCTCGTCTGCCCGTCTGTTCAATCCCACCAGAGAAGGTGACTCCACCACCTCCCTGGCCAGCCTGTTCCAGTGCTTGACTGCCCTTTGGGTGAAGAAGTTTTTCCTCAGATCCAACCTAAACCTCCCCTGGCACAACTGGAGCCCATTTCCTCTTGTCCTGTCCCTTGCTCCTTGGTTGAACAGACCCACCCCCACCTCTCTCCACCCTCCTCCAAGGGACTTGGACAGAGCCACAAGGTCTCCCCTCAGCCTCCTCTTCTCCAGGCTCCCTGAGCTGCTCAATCATCAAGATCATGGCCTCTCAGCACTGACCATGACGCAACAGCAAGATGGTTTCTACCACAGGGAGTGTCTCCATGAGAAGCCAGAGAGACCAGCCCATACACATTTCTCGGCACCAGAGTAACCAGGTATCTAGAAGCATGTCTTGGGGTTTTTTTCATAGTGAAAGGAACCAAAACCAAAACCAGTGCTCTGTGACAGTCAGCACAGCTGTGCCAGGAGACCAAGCGGGGCATTAATATGACAGATAACAAAGAGACCCGGCTTAAGGGAACCACAAGGAGAAGGAACAAAGAAAACTCAGAAAGAGATAAAGATGGTGTTGCTACAAGGATTAAAGACAGATCTGATGGCAGCAAGCTCACGGGGACCAACAGCAGAGGAAGTCACCAAATGTGGAAGGCAAAGCCAGAGAATTCCCAACCCAAGTACTGACACTCAGCCCGTCCATGTGCCCTAAGCCTGGGTCTAAGAAATGGAGACCCTGAAGAAGAATCTCTCACCAGGGCAAGTTCACATGATGCCTCAGGTTCAGCAACAGCTCTGGGACGCGATGGGTTGGGCTGGGCAGGCTGGCAGGTCCAGCAGCAGAGGCTCCAGAAAGGGAACCTGCCCACCAAGATGAAGTGTCTCTGCAACTGCAGCGAGGTCAGGACTGCAGGGTCGATATCCAGCACTGGGCCAAGGAGCAGAGGTGAAAATCAATAGATGAACTTTCAGCCACATGAGTTGTCCCCCAGAATTGAAACAGAAGCCACAGATTTGCAAGTTAAATTCTTCTGCTTAGTCTTAGCTGCTTCTGTCTGCCTAGAAGAAAAGTGTCAGTACGCAGAGCTCCCTCTGCTTTTTTATGAGTTGATCCAACAAAAATCTCTCCTCCATCTCTAAACCTCATGTTGTCCGTTTTCTTAGACCACCACGGCTCTAGCACTGCCTCAAAACCTTCACCACCAGGTAGCGACAGGCATTCCCAACCACCTCCAACACCACCTGCACATTCACTGCCACAGTCATCTTCTGCAGGGGACACCCACCCCCTGCTCTGCCTTGATTTCAGACCTCATGTTCCAGCTGTAAATCCAACCCAGAAAACCAGCAGATGTTCAAACTCTGGGCTCCTGCCCAGAGAACACACCCAATGCCTTTTTCAGTGGCACACAAGCTCTCTTGCTGCTTGAACCTTCATTTTAAGGGCAAACTTCAGCACAATCTGTTCCATCTTCCATTGAGCCTTCCACAAAACCAATAATTCATGAACAGCAGTAAAATACCTGATGAGTCTTAGCTCCCCTGGGCCCTTCTCAGAGCTACTGACCTAAAATTCATTTGGTGGAGAACGACAATTCCTCACATGTGGACAGACTGAACTTGAAGTCTCCTAATGGTAGGGAGGATGCAGAGCCTGTGGTCCTGCTGCACAGCCTCACCAGTTAAAAGTACACGCTCAGACACGTGTATTTTGGTTTAAATGCCAAAAACTTAGCAGAACTTGTCCCTGGGCCTGATACATACCGCAGCATGGACACATTAGTCCATCTTACTTGGAGGTTACTCGTCCACAGATCCTTGCTGGTCACTTTTGGACCTGAAACTGAAATAATTTCTTAATAATTTCTTAATAATCTTTAAAGAAATATTGCTGCTCCCTTCTGACCAGCTCAGACCTTCCAAAGTTAGTACTGATCCTAACCCACAACCTGATCTTGGCACGTGCAACCTGCAAAGGTGAGCGCAACTCAGACCAGTGTTCTCAAGACACTTCCGAAATTGGGACGTGCTCATTTAGATCCATGTTACGTGGAGAGGTCAGTAAATATTATTGAGTCTTAGTGCCAGAGCCCTCTATATGGAGAAAAAGGGGGATCTGGTGATTAAACACAAAACCTGACAGCTCAACCAGGCAGCACCCAGAGATGTTCCCTGAGGGCTAACACGACCTGCTCCTACCAGTACAGTGGTAGATGACTTCATACTCATCAGTCCTGTCCCTCCAGCTGCTGTGAGAGTTGGATTAACTGTATCTCAGGGCTGTGAGATGCTTCTACAGTGCAGCCACTAACATAGGCAATGCCAAGTCTTCTGCTCTTCCCACTCACAAAGACAAGCATTTGAGAGCCTCGTGCTCTTCAAGAAGCGTGCACCATGAAGGACCAAGCTCCTCCAATTCCCACCATTAATGTGTGACAGGACCTACCTCACCAGGTCTCCTGCAAGGTTGTATGACATGTATGGCTGGGACCGAGTCTGTGGGCAATAAATACATCAGTGACTTTGTGGAGGTGGAAGAGACCTTTTTAATAAACAGGATTCAAATAATAATAATAAAAAAATCCCTCTGAACTGCCACTGCGAGAAGAGTTCAGATAACTAGCACAGAAGATGATGCTGTATGTGCACGATGGAGGGAGAAGGGAAGAAAAGAACAAGTTGTTACCAACTTGATGAGCTTCCTCAGTAAATCAGCAGAAACCAGCTCAGCTCAGCAAAACTCTCCAGATAAAATACTTGGTGGATCCATCAGAAACAACTCAAATCAAAATAAAGAGAAATCCCTACATCGGAAGGCGCTACATTAAAATAACCAGCGAAACACTGAGCGCCGCTGGAGCCGCAGCAGGGGCAGGGAGACAGGGAAGATCTGCCAGTCGTTCCTGGGCTCAGGAACAGCCACACGGCCAGGGACTCGCTCGATCCTGTCACAGGCAGTGTGCGTGTGTGTGCTAGAGGGGGTGGCGGTGGCAGGGAGGTCAGGCTATCGAACGAGGTGGTGGTGTAGAGTGGCAGCAACGGAGGGTGAAGGGCAGCACTCAACGATGTCAACTCCATCTTGCTCTGGTGGCTAGTGCAAATAGTCGTCTACTCTGGCAAAGGAGCAGGAGCCCAAGCCCACGCGAGCCATGAGCCGCAAACACTCCGAGGCCTGGCCCAGGGCAAGCATCAGCGGGGGCTGCTTTGGCAGGTTCTGAGATTCTGTGGGGGCAAAAAAAGAAATCGATTTAGAAGAGGCATCCTGGCCGCGTGCTGGCTCAGCCACACTCGGGTCCCTCTCAGTCCCACCTGGGCACCAAGCCCAGCATCCCCGGCAGAAGGCTCTGGAAGGAAGTTAGGAGTCCCGCTGGCTCTGCACCGCTGCTCCTCCTCACACCCCACCACCCATGACATGTCCCACGTGGGGCCACAGCTCAACAGGGCCTTGGAGAAAGTACTGCTGCCAAAGCAAGAAAAAGGCAGTGGAGCTCCTGCCGCCTCAGATTTTGGCAGAAAACCCTCAAAGCATGAGAGATCAAAGCTTGGAAGAATAAGGAAAGGCAGGATTGTCAGCAAGGGAGAGGCAACCTCTCCATCTCTCCCACTCGTGTGAGTCTACACAGCAGCACAAGCCCGAGACAAAGTCATTCACTGGTCACTGCTTCCTTTCAGCTTCATGGTTGCCGTGTGTGCAAGAGGGAATCCTCAGCTGAGCTGGACAAGGTGTCTTGTGACCTGTGTGACCAAGCACGTCCAGACACCATCTTTCATGTCTCCCTGGTGACACCCTTCAGCAACTTGTCCAGGCTCCTCAAGCACTGGACAAACAACATCTAGAACCCTGCTGGACACTTGCCCATGCTGACTGTCATGGGAAGGGACTCTCCTTCCCAAACCATACAATTTCTGTTCCTTTACTCAGACAGAAGAGGAGCTCTCATGGATTTGTCCATCAAGCTGTTCCTTCCCCCACATGATAATCTCTAAATCTCCTTATGGCACACTCAATGTGAGGTGCACAGACCCACTAGGAAATATGTCAAGGGCCCTGTCCAGAATGAATCGATCCCTTTCTTGCAGACTGGTGGCACATCATAACCTCATTAACTCTACAGCCATTTCTCCATCATGGGATTTTCTGTAGCTGAAGATGCCAGGAGGGTCAGCAACGACATGCCAACTCACTGACTGCAAGCACAAGACTTCCAGCAGGGAAAGCTACTGCATTTGCTACAGCAGGTTCAAGACAGGAGAGTTAAAGACAACAAGCTGTTGGGCCAAGGAACGTGCTTGTCTAAGGACAATGGAAAAGCAGGCTCATTCATTCAGCTCTGAGGACACAGAGAAGGGCAAGAGACTGCTCACACCTGGATCCAACCATGATCCATTCTGCTGACACAAAGAGCAAAGCTCCTCAGAAAAAGGGGGGCTGTTTTGCTAGCTAAAGAAAACCAACCTATAACCAGATCTCTGCACAGAGCCGGGTCCTCTCAGCACAGTGAAGACCAGAAAGGAAAGAGCAATAGGGCTGGACCGTTACCACAGCCCTGATTCCAACACTGGAAGGCAGGCAGGCTCTCTAGGATCTAGCAGGCAGAGCACATGATGGGAACCTGCAGAGGCAATGCTCGAAGGGAAGACAGCATTTCACTCTGTGTGTTCAGCACGAGCTCAAAGGTAACTGGAATCAGGGCTCTCCTCTGCTTTAGAGCCAACACTATGGAAACCTGCTCCACTTACGAGCTGCTGCAACAGAGCATCTGCATTCCTCACTGGAAAACAGGATGATGCCAGGACAAAACTCTGCCAACTCAAACTGTATGGAAAAGAGCCCTGGTAATGCCAGCAAAATGATTCAGGGGGGTTCAGAGCAAGGAGGAAGAGGGGCAGGAAATGCATCAAAGAGATGGTTTCTTCAGTAAGCAGGGGAGGAAAATCCTAAGGAGCATCGTTGGAAGCAGCATTGAGGAAGACCCGAGGAAGGGAGTCAAAAAAAGATGAGATCAGGAGAATTTGTTCTCTGCAGGCTTCCCTCCCACCTCCCTCCCTGCATCGCTGCCCTCCCAGTGCCCAGCAACAGAGAGGCAGAAGCTAACCACAAGTATTCTGAAGTTAACGCTCACAGGCTCGCCTGCCACAGGACAGCCCTGGAGAGCAGGTATGTCCAGCGGGCAGTGCTCACGTAGGAACCAGGCCTTACCCAATATAGCACTATTAAGAGCAGCACACACAGGTTCCCTCTGGATCGGGTCCAGCTGTTGACCGACGGGGCAGTTCCAAGGGTCTGAGTAAGCTAACAAGCTAAACGCGTCCTGTGTGAGAGAACAGAGAGGCACAGTGAGGTCACGCACGGCACAAACACACGGGAGAACCGCCGAGTCCGTCAGCCGGGGCACCTCCTGCCATCGCCAGGGTGACAGGTGCCTACCTCCTGAAAAGAAATGGCCCTTTTCTTCATGGCAGCAAGGGACCACACTGGGCCATCAAGATAGTGGATTAAAGAGGGTGCCCCCTCCACCTGGCAGGGGAGCCAGCACGGGAAGGCAGGTAGAGTGTCACCTGGAGAGAAGAAGAGCGAAGGCAGGCAGGAGCTGTATGTGGCTCTCCTGTGCCGAGAACTGGGTCTAGGTGCTCTACGTTCACTCAGCTTCCACCTCTGATCCCCGTGCAGACCCCCTCTTCCTCACCAGGTGCAGAAGTGGGGGCCACTCCGAGGTCTGCAAGAGAACCCATGTCCCCAGTCCTGGCTCGGAGAACTGCTGCGATGCAGTGCAAGGCCCAGGCTTACCTGAAGCATCTTTTTGTGCACTGTGTTCTTTCCATATTCTCTGCAAAGCTGCTCGCTCAGCATCTGCAGCTCCCGTCCAAACTGGATCATTCGCTCCGTGGCAGCATGGTTCCCTCCACAGAGCTGCCTCTGGGGACAGCTGTCTTCTAGAGGAAAGGCAGTGGAGAAGGAACAGTCGTCTCTCATTCCCCACCACTGCCCACTCTGGGTCATGCTACCCATGAACTCCCTCCCCATCTGGAGCAGGCAGCTCCTCCTGCTCTAACTTTATCCCAGTGGAAGCTTTTCCTGATCCTTGCACGACAACAGCCAGGAGTGGTTTATTCATAGCACCTCTGAGGTACAGGGAAAACTTGAGCTCGGTTTGTTTAATGCTTGAGGGCTACCAACAAATCCAGTGGTCTGATAAAATCACAGGAACTTGCACCTCCGGCTGTGCTGCCCTTTCACGTGTGTAATAAAGAGCACACAACAGGGAAACCCCCAGTCTAACAAACGCTGGACTCAGAGATGCCATCATCACCCATTTCCCAGTATTAGGTGGCCACAACAACCACTATAACTGGAGGAATTCCCAGTTTCAGAGGTAGTGTAGCCAATTCATCCCTTCCCTCTCAGGTAAAGCACCCACAAACAAGACAGAGCCAACCACACTGCGCTGAGGACACGTGGCAGCTGGGCACTGACCAGCCTTTCACATCGTTCCTCAGCTGGAAGAGCTGGAATTCACGACCAGCGCTGAATAAACCTTTGACTCCTATTGCTTTCCCTGCTCCACAACACCACCAGCACTGCTTCAAGACTATGAAAAGCCAGACCGAGTTTTAGTTCCAGGACAGACTCATTTCCCCTGTGAAACAGGCACCTGCAGAACTTCATTCACTGGGGTGGGGAAAGAAACACAAAGTACATCAAATGTTGTGAGCTGGGAGGGACCCACAAGGATCATGGAGTTCAACTCCTGTCCCTGCACAGGACAATCCCAACATTCACACCATGTCCCTGAGGGCCTTGGCCAAATGCTGCTGGAATCTTGTCAGGCTTGGTGCCATCAGCACCTCCCTGGGGAGCCTGTTCCAGTGCTCCACCACCCTCTGCCTCAAGAACCTTTTCCTCATGGCCAACCTCACCCTCCCCTGCCACATCTTCCTGCCATTCCCTCTGCTCCTGGCATTCGTTGGTGGCCAGAGAGCAGAGATCAGCGCCTGCCCCTCCTCTTCCCCTTGGGAGGAAGTTCTAGACCCCCATGAGATCTCCTCTCAGTCTCCTCTTCTCCAGGCTGAACAAACCAAGTGACTTCAGCCTCTCCTCGTCCCCTTCCCCTCTAAACCCTTCCCCAATGTTGTGTCCCTCCTCTGGACACTCTCAAGCCGCTTTAGATCCTTTTTCTCCTGTGGTGCCCAAAACTACACCCAATACTCGATGTTTTTTTCCCCTCAACCCAATCTGAATTTTAACTCCTGCTCCTAGCTCCTTCTATTTCCCTTTACCCCTCCTGCCTCTGAGGCCCTACCCATGCTGGATTCATCCGTCTGCAGGATCTCTTCGTGTTTGTAGGTGCCATTCATTATCCTGGTGGATGAATTTTCCAGGACTCCATTGGGGTAATGCTCAGCTTCCATTTCCATCTCGCTGTCACTGAGATGAAAAGAGGTAAAAAAGGTCAGATGTCTAAATTAGAAAGGGAAGAAATGAAGAGCTCAGATGCCAAACGGTGCCCATCAATGGCCAGTAAACCAAGAAAGGTGCCAGTTGGGCTACAGGGAGCCAGATGGTCTAATTCAGTGTAGCAAAAATTGTTGCAGGCTTCTGAAGAGAATTTATGAAACAGGTTTCTGTTCTGAAAGTGCCTGTCACAATTACAGGTGCAGAGCGCTTCTCATTTTCCCTTCAGGAAGCAGCACCTCGGGGACAGCAAACAGCAGCCAGATAACAGGCTAAAGAGGAGGGAAATCTTGGCTGTGGTAAGCCATCAACCCTGGCAAAAAAATAAAACGCAGAATACAAGGGCTCTGAACAGGACAGCAGTCTGAACAGGATCACTGAATAACTGCTGGTTAACTGAAACGATGAGAAAGTCTTCCTGGGACCTGGGCTCTACATTTTAAAAAAAGAATCATAAATCCATTATCATTATCAAATGATTCTGGTAAATTGAGTTTGAACAAGTGTTTCTCACTCAGTGATGTGCTGTACGGCTCTCAAAAGGTCACGACAGAGACTCCAAACTGTCCTGCAAACTGGGCTCAGCACAGTACTCAGAGGATGAGTGCCAGCTGCAATTAGCAGGAGATTCTACTCAGCACGAGGATATATATCCTCTGCTCCAGCGTGGCCTCAGGCAGCCCTGCAACACCAGCCGGGACAGTGAGCCCAGAGGAAGCTCCATTCTCACTGCGGCTCAACACGCTCCACGCTCCAGTAAATGCAGCACTACCTATCCCCCCCTCCTGGACTGCCTATGGCTCCGTTGAGAAGAGAGGCTTCCTGAAGGTCTGACGTGCTGTCACAAGTATGAAACAAATTACTGTTGATTCAGAGGCTCATCTGGAAGGAACTGGGCAACAGGTAGAGGAAGCCCAAGGAAAATATTCAAGAGCACAATGCACTGACCCGGTAATCACTTGAGCTGCTGCCTCACTCACCAAAGGGCAGGCAAGATGCTCAGCACCAGTAATCAACTGGCTGAGGCAGCAGCAAGAAAAAACAGGCTCAATGGGAGGGCTTCTGTGCAAACTACCATGCTGGGCTCTGCCAAAATCAGTTTAATGGGACAACCTGGTGTTTGAAACAAGAACATCATAATATTCCTTATGAGATGAGCCTCCCAGCCTGAGCCAGAGCAGGGGAACTGCAACAAGCTTGTGTCTGCTGGGAATAATAGTGACTCTGTAGATCCAAAGAGTCATTCTGTTGTTCAAAAGAGCAAGACAGATGCCCTTCTGGCTCCTCAGAAAGCAGACTGAGCCCTCTCCCACCACGTCACCCTCCTCAGGCAACTACAAAGGCAAAAAAAAAAAATACCTGGTTTCTTGGTTACTCGTACTACTGTGCTGCTGAGATTTGGTAGAATCTGTAGAATTGGACTCAGAATAGTTCACAGATGAGGGGGAGGAGGAGGAGGAAGATGAAGATGATGAACTCAGCGTTGGGTATTTACTGTGACTCTGTTTGCTTTTTGTGGACATGACTCCATTGCTACAGGTTGGACTATCTGCTCCTGGAAGTCAAGAAGAAAGGGACAAATGAGACCAGACTGACAGTATCACTCTACTGTGAAGTCAATAATTTAGTAAGAGAGCAGGTCCCAAAGGAGGAAAGCAAAAGAAGATTGCAGACTCATCGTTCTTAAAATCAATGGGGTTTAGAGAAAACTTAAATTAATATACAAGGAACCTCCCTGCTCACCAGCAACAGCTGAGCTTAAGGAAGTTCTAAAAATGGGCCGTAAATAAGAGATCAGCGGAAACAGCTGACACAGATACAGAACTTATTGTTGAAACATGAAGCACAAATGGTTTGTAAAGAAGTTCAGAGGTAGCCACCAATATTTCTCAAAAACCCAAATATTTCTCATAAACCCTTTATCCAGGAAAACTATGAAAGCCCAGGTGAAAACTGGGTCACAAGAACTCTTAGCAAGCAGAGCTTCCCAGGCTTTCCACAACCTATCTTCCATTAGGGATACACTTGGTTCACACAACACTCCTCTTAAATAACAACAATCCCCTTAAAGATCACAAGCTACCCTTCCTCGTTGAGGAGAAGCGACATCACTGGAAGGAGAGCCAGGCTTGAAATCTCATCTGCTGCCCCACCAAAGGTGGCTATCAAGCTGTGGAACTTGCTGACACAGGACACAAACCTTTAGTCATTACCACAAGTTTTATATGGATTAAAAAATGACTGGCTAAACTTACAGGGGGTATTTAACACCAAGACCACTGAAAATCTTTAGGGGCTCAAATAATATTTTGGAAAAACTCACTATGGGCTTGTCTTCTTCATGTGATCTTCCCTAGGCAACCAGTATGGACCACAGGATCTTGGCTAGATGATGCAACCTGGCACGGCTGTTCCTCCAGAACTGACGCTGATATATCCCAGTTCATCAGCTGATCTCACAATTATATTTGTAACTAGGGAATTTATTTATATTTTTATCACGACAACACAAAGATTCAAAGAACGGGTCGTTTTGTGCATTTTAATGACAAAGATGCAGGAGACCATGCACCACAGTTCTGCTTAATCCTTGAAACACAGCTGATGAAATTATCACTATTTTGAAAGCACTAAGGTCTGACAGAGACAGCTGTGGAAGGGGGTGTCCCATGTATGGAGACAAATACACACGAATGCTGCCTTGTGTTGCAAAGGGTTTTCTGTAGGAATCTCCTGGTTGAAACCAGGTATTACCAAGAGCTTTTATGGACTGGTGGGATCATTTCTGATTATCCAGTCAGGGAAACATACCCAGGGTTTCTCACAATTCAATATAGGAAAACAGAGATACTGGCTTGGGAAGGCAAGTGACAGCTTGGAGGCATTCAATTGTCTTCCTTTCCCTTAAATGTTTGCCTCTCCACAGCATGTCACATGCTGCAGCGGGAATATTGAACACTCAGATGGCTGTGAGCAGCTCGGACTGTTTGCAGGGGCTCTGCAGGTCATATTCCCTGGCACACTCCTTCTTCAACATTCCAGGTCAGGTTGGTCAGGGCTCTGAGCAACCTGATCTGGTTGAAGATGTCCCTGCTCACTGCAGGGGGGGTTGGACTAGGTGACCTTGAAAGGTCCCTTCCCACCCAAACCATTTCTTGATTCTATGATTTCCCTGGCTCTGCTACAGATGAGTTCATCTCAGCTTCAGAAAGCTGTTTCATTTCGTGGCACCTCCCCTCTCCCACAAAAAATACCTGTCGCTGCAAGAAAGGCACATTCAGGAAATCAAGAGGGGACAGAAAGAAGAGCAGAGCAGTGAACTGATGCTCGATAGCTGCCAAGAGCCAGCAAGGGGGCCAGTCTCCCTTGAAGCATGGCAGGGGAGTCTTGGGCAGACACCTAGGGCAGATACCTTGAGTGTCCTGGTCTATCTTGTTCTTCCCATTTCAAATCCTAAAGTTTCATTTCCCAAACTACACAGAGTTGATGCTTCAGAGATGAGTTTTGCATGTACAGAACTGTTCCCTTCTCACATGCTTAGAGCTTGCAAGGTGAAGTCCATGGGAGAAGGAGAAGCTCTCATACAAGGCATCCCCCTGACCTTTCGCTCAGTTGGCCAGAACTGTGCATCTTCTGCTCGGTCCTTACTGGAAAGCAATTCTTTTGCAGACTCCAAAGTACAGGAAACAGGCTTTGTTTCCCAGACCTTCTCTTACAGCTCAGCCAGTGAAGCACTGAGTCATTAGTGGCTGCACTAGAAAGCCACCTTCAAAAGCTGCTTTATTCTGAAAAAAATCTGCTCTGCAGACAACCATCTGTGGAAAACAACTAATGCAAAACCGATTCTGTAGCAGTGTGGAGACACCCACGACAACAGGCTGTCCTCACTACTGGGTATCAGAAAGGAAAAGAGCATTTCACAGAATAATGTACAGAAAGTAGCAGGTAATGTGATACACAACCATGTCCACCTTTGATACTTGCTCCTCTCACCAGGAGACACAGAGAACAGACTTACCGGTACTATGAACGTGTGAGTTGCTTGATCCGTGTCTAGGACTTAAGCTGGGGGACCCGGGGTAACTGTCCTGGGATCTGGGGCTGCGGGCACTGAAACAACGTACTTCACTGTCTGTCCCATTCACCATCTCCACAAACTGCCGACACCTGATTTCATAGGAGGGAAGAAGGAGAAAAGGGCGCGTGACAGCCAGGATGCTCTGCACTGAGGTTTCCTTCGTCACTGAGCGGAGAAGTCCTGGAAACTGCACGGGAGTTAAATTTCTTGGCTTTGAAAAAGACATTTCAGGCTCCTGGTACCTTTGTATTGTGAGTGCTTTGATAATGCTATGGGAGGAAGGAGTTCAGAAACTGCAACTTGGATGCTAATGAACATTGAGACATTCCCAAAAAGCAAGTTCCATTGTGCTAAGAAGAAACTGTTCCTTTACAGCACGCTTTCATCTCCACTCCCTCTGCAGGAACTCCAGCATTTAATTGTATGGGTTTGTTTGTTTTGGTTTTTTTTTCCAAGCAGATACTAAATTTGCCAAACATCTTAGTTCACTCCATCAACCTAGAAATGCTGGTGGCCAACAGTAAATAGACAAGGAAGGGTAAAAAATGCAATATCCACAGTGACAGGACAGTGAGGACAGCTTCCCCTTTAGCTCTACTGGGAACAGTCCTTACACATCTGAGGAGGCTGGGGAGAGCCACTCTGTGTGGCTGGGACAACTGGGACACACAGGCACTTTTTTTCCTTTCATCTCTACCCCAGATAGCCTCTTCCGTACACCTGCCTTTCTAGGAACCTTCACAGTGTCTGCCATGTGCTCCAGTGTTGAAAGATCTCCACAAGACAAGGAAAAGCCATCCATGAAGGAGTTTCTGGCAGTCAGCAGAGCTAAAATCTCACCCGCCTCTGCCTAAGCTCATGAGGCAAAGCCACACTAGGTCTGAGCAGCAACAAAAGGGCTACGTCTACATTGCCACAAGCACTGAACCTGAACCTATGTCCTCTCCCACCTGCTCCCAAAGGGTTCTCCAACAGTTCGAGTTCAGACCAAGGTGTGCAGCTGGTCTGGAGGCTGGACAGCCTCTTTATTCCCTTCTTCACCTAGACATTCCAGCATTAGGAGTATAAAAGTACTCGTACTTACTTTAACATGAAGAGCAGGTTGGGGTTATGTTCTAGGAGGCCAGGATAGAGCTGCTGGGTGGCTTCTATAGCCTCTCCCACTCTGCCTGCTAATACTAGCTTCTGTATTCCTGAAAGGAAAAGGAGACTTATTGACACACAGGACAGGCCAACAAGAATCACAAAATCATGGACTGGTTTGGGTGGGAAGGGACCTTTCCAGTTCATCCAGTCCAACCCCCCTGCAGTGACAGGGACATCTTCAACCAGATCAGGTCACTCAGAGCCCCGTCCAACCTGGCCTGGAATGTTTCCAGGGATGGGACTTCTGCCACCTCTCTGGGCAACCTGGGCCAGTGTCTCACCACCCTCACTGTAAAAAGCTTCTTTATATCTAGTCCGAATCTCCCCTCTTTTAGTTTAAAACCATTTCCCCTTGTCCTACCACTCCAGGCCCTGCTAAAAAGTCTGTCCCCATCTTTCTTATAGGTCCCTTTAAGTACTGCAAGGAAGAATGGCCAGAAGAGTTGTCTCACATATGCCACCCAGCTCCCCACTAGCACCTTGCACAAGGGCTTTGGAGAACTGGGGACCACAGTTTATTCTGTTTATTCTGGATTAGCATGAGAAAAAGACTGTGAAAATGAGGGAGGATCTGGTAGCAGCTCAGAAACATGGAGCAGAAGGATGTGAAAGATGAAGTGGGTGCGCTGGGGTAGGTGCTCTGGGACTTTAGTCCTTTAGTTGCAGAGCTAGGCAGCAATGGAAAAGAAAGCAGGACCCAGCTGGATGGGAGCAAGTAGGCTGCTGGGGAAATGACAATTTCAGAGGGGAAGCCCCTCAGTCACCCCCACGTTACCTCCTCTGGCTGGTTCATGCTTGGAAGCGTATGTATGTCTGAGCATTGGATAAGCAGAGTATTCTTAGAGGGTCTGTGGGCTTAAACCACAGCACAGTACTGTTTCCCCTATTTCCCTGCCTCTAAGGAGAAGTAATTAGACCAACAAAATGGGGCTCCTGCAAGTCCCACCTCCATGGATCCCCAGAGAAGTAACCTGAGCTTGGTCTGCAATGAGGATGAGCTAACTCCAAGAATCAGCTATTGACCAAGCTAGAAACAGTTAAACGAGTTGTACACTCCCAGGAGGTGCAAAGACACAAGGCAGAAGCCATCTATCATCCTGGGTGTTCAGGTCCCACCTGTGTTCCTCCAGTTGGTCAGAAGACGCAAGTGCAAGGCTTGAGATCCCATCCCTGAACACCCAGAGAAGCAGCTGATCTACAGAGGTTCACGTTTGATTTTTTTTCCTAAGTGTACTTAAAACTGAAAACTAAATGGACTTAAAACTAAAAATGCATTGCACTTCCATCTCTTCCATTTTTCTAGGACTCCTTACAAACAAGAGAGAGGAGGTTTGGAATCGCCTGTGAGGTGGTTTGGAATCGCCTGTGAGGTGGTCTGGAATCGCCTGTGAGGTGGTTTGGAATCGCCTGTGAGGTGGTTTGGAATCGCCTGTGAGGTGGTCTGGAATCGCCTGTGAGGTGGTTTGGAATCGCCTGTGAGGTGGTTTGGAATCGCCTGTGAGGTGGTCCTTTGCAAGCAGAGGCTCTAATAACAACAGGCTGACACTTTTGCAAGTCATGAGCAGCTGAAAGCCCAGCCCAGCAATCCTCATTAGCAACCCCCAGTAACAACCTGCAACGACTTGTCTTGGCTCCTGTTTCTCAGTGTCTACTTGCTTATTATTGTAGCTGAAAGCTCCAACCAAAGACGTGGCTCTCACACCGATGTGTGTTGCAAAGTCTCCTTCATTTCACTCTGTTTCTTGCCCGTCTGTTCTCCTGTCTCGCGGCTTTTGACAGCTCTCGTCTTTGCCTTGTTTGCCAACTCTCTCTCGTTGCCTTTTATATTTTCCCCTCTTTTCGTTTCCCCATCTGTGTTTTCCTCACACCTCTTATTTAAGCCCCAATTCCAGAGCTCTGCAGTCCTTCCCTCCATCTGCCTTGTCACCTGTCCCTCAAACAAACAAGACTGCCCTGTCTCGCGTGCCGCCCCTAAGACTTTCCCAATGAAAACCACCGCAGCAGGAACACCGGCTGGGGTCGGGGTGGCATAACACATGACCTGGAAAGCACAAAGCTCGTCAGCACTAATGGGCAGCAACTACAAGTTATTCTGGGTACTAAGCAGAGTCCCCAAATGAACCTGAATGCTGAGTAAGCGTGTGCAATGTATGGAGAGCGAGCAACAACGAGGCACGATGCTCCCGATACGTAACAGTCACATGAGAAAGGGTTCACAAAGGGAAGGGGAATGTACAGAGCAGGTCACAGCCTGTATTCAACAGCCAGGAGAATGCAGAAAACACACCAATGTTCTGTGACTCTGCAGGCTGAGCCTGTGAATAGAAAAGCTAAAAAAAAAAAACCCCAAAAAACCAAACCAGCAGGAGAAAGCTGAACGCCGCCTTCTGCAGGAACCAAAAGCGCTTCCAGCCTTATCAACTGAGGGATGAACCACTCCGGAGGGAACAGCAGGAACCAAAACAGACACAGAATATAAATTCTTCACCTAGTGGGAGCTAAAAATTTTGGTTGTGAATTTTCAAAATCTTTAGTATGCAAAAAATTTACCTGAAAAAAAAATGTGCAAAGGGACTGGAAGGCTCATGAACTCTGGGAGCTGCAGTCAACATGGAGCGATGTGTCTGGGTCCCTATGACCATGCTAATGAAACTGCCTCTGCTGCAACAGACTGCACTGAAGGATCCAAATCCAGAGGGATCTCTGGTGCACAGTGACCTCACTTCAGGTGAAGTCCAAGGTAACCATTCTATTCTCCAGCAGTTTGGCACTTCCTCCAAGAAAGCACCTTCTGCCCTGCATATCATGTTTAGCTGGAATGTGTGAAACTGCTGGTCTCAAACTGAGTCACAGAATCATCAAATCACAGAACAGTTTAGGTTGGAAGGGACCTTAAAGCTCACCCAGTCCCAACCCCCCTGCCAGCAGCAGGGACACCTTCCACTAGACCAGGTTGCTCAAAGCCTCATCCAGCCTGGCCTTCAACACTTCCAGGGAGGAGCAGCCACAGCTTCTCTGCCCAACCTGGGACACTGGCTCACCACCCTCACACCAAAGAATTTCTTCCTCACATCTCATCTCCATCTCCCCTCTTCCAGTTTCAAGCCATCACCCCTTGTTCTGTCACTCCCTGCCCTTGGCCAAAGTCCCTCCCCAGCCTTCCTGGAGCCCCTTCAGGTACTGGGAGGCCACTAGAAGGTCTCCCCAGAGCCTTCTCTTCTCCAGGCTGAACAGCCCCAACTCTCTCAGCCTGTCCTCACAGCAGAGCTGCTCCAGCCCTCGCATCATCCTCGTGGTCTCCTCTGCCCTGGCTCCAGTAGCTCCATGTCCTTGTGCTGTTGGTGGCCCCAGCACTGGAGGCAGCACTGCAGGTGGAGTTTCATGAGAGCAGAGTAGAGGGGCAGAGTTAACTCATCTCTTCCAGGATTCAGCTATTAATTTTCAACAAGACTGATGAAAATTAACCAAGCTGATTAGAAAACTTACTCTCTTCAACACCTGCAGGTCACTTCTCAGAGCAGAGAGGCCACAGAAAGAAAAGGGCAGTTCTTCAGGCAAAGACAGCAGAGGGTAGAGGCGACACAGTGATGATGGGAAAAGCACTCCAAGCAGTGGACCCCAAGCTCTACTGACCCACAGGCAGCACTGCGAAGTCAGCAGTGTGCTGTGGGCAGCTTTGGACTGTCGTGGAATAACTGTTCTACTTCCACAGCACCTCATTCCTCTGCAGAATCCTGCAGGTAACACGTGGCCAGCGTGCCACGTTTTGGGAACGCTTACCCAAGGGACTTACTTTGTCTGTTCTTTATTGAGGTCTGTTCTTCCTGGATTGCCGTGTCTGTGACTCTGGCAAAGGCAGTTGCTGTTGAACAGTACCCATGATGAACCAAATACGACGAAACCATACTAGAAAATAAGAAAATACAACCAGATGAAGAGGCGTTGGTAAAACAGGGTAAGGACACTGGAGAAAAAAAAAAAAAAATCAACAAAACAGAAGTTATGATTTTGGTGACCACACTCAGCTTGCTTAGGACATAACCAGGGTCCTACTTCTGCATCCAGACTGTGTAAATTTAGTAGACAGGTATCTGGTCCTCAACAAACAGAAGGGAGACTCTAAATTCACCTTAAAGGGGAAAAAAAACCCCAAAACAAAACAAAAAAACCAAACCACAAACCAAACCAAACTCCCAAAGCATATGCAGGATTTATTTAATTACTGCTGTCCAAGGGTCACTCGTAAGAGCTCAGCACTGTGTTATTGCCAGTGCCATCCACTCACAACGCAGATACGGGCTGCTCCTCCTACACAGCCAGAAAATCTGAACCTCAGAGAGGCTCAGGGCTCACAAGTACATCTGAAAAAACCAACAAAGGTTCTGGTCCTGAATTTCTTCCATCATTTATTTTGCCAGTAATTATATCTTTGGTAATTGCATCTCCTTAGGAATTGTAGACATTCACTGATATTTTTTTCTGCCGATTTACAAAGAGTGAGCATCGATTTTACAAACATTAACACATTTTTAAGTTGTATATTCAAAAAAGCACGGTGGGAGAGGTAGGATCACTGTCAGAAAACAAACACAACAAAATAGTCTTTCTGAACAGACCATTTCTAAAGCACTTGTGTCCCCCCAGGACACAGCGGGTAAATGTTAATGCTCACTGGATCTTCACAAAACCTAAAAAGCCAGCACCGGATTTCAAAGCTTCTAGGGATGAATCTCAGATAAGGCTTCTCATGATGAAGCTGCTGTTGATCCGATGAAGTCACAGCTGAAAACATGCACTGAACTGAGCTACTTTCACAGAATCAGAATCCCAGAACTGCCTGGAGTGGAAAAG